CGGGGGGGGAGGGGAGGGAGAGGGTTGTCACTCTTGCCCCTCTCTCTCCTGTCCTGGTCCATTTCCTGTCAGCCTTGCACTGCTGGCGGCCAGGTGCCTAGAATCCAACAGTGGGCTCCCAGTGATCGCTGGCTCCTGATCCCCGGGGCCCGGGGGGAGGGGAACCGAACAATGGCTCCCCAGCTTCTTTAAGCGCTGAGCCGGGGACTTAGGAAAAGGCTCACAGCCCAAATGTGAAGAGCCCGCGCCGCACACTCACTAGTCTTTGAAATTTACCCCTGGGGTGTGAAACCCAAGTGCCCCCCCACCCCCACCCCGGCCTGCTTAGGCCCAGGAGGGGCAGTCAGACCCTGTGCCCCTAGCCTGGCACTTAGGGTGGCCCACAGCCCCCTGTGAGTTCCCCAGCCAAGGCACCCCCGGACCTCCTGGCTGGACACCAGGGGTCGGGGAGGGCAACAGAGAATTCCTGGACAGAGAAAAGTCACCCAGAAAAGCTGCCCCCGGGGTGTAGCCCGCCCTCTGCTCTGCAGTTCTGCTCGGGCAGCCTTGCTGGGTGGGAAGTCCTGCCCTAGCCCGCAGCTAGCTTGGGAGTAATTCAAACAAACGTTACTGTCTGTCATTAATGCTTCTCCCACAGGTATAGCCGATAGAGAACAGCCTCAAAGGTACAGGTGCTCAGAGAAATAAAAGGGTTTGTAACGTGATCTTGGAAACTTGCCGGAAATAGAATTTGAACCCAGAAACGCGGGCTGGGCTCATTTCTTTCTTAAGGGACGCGGTCTCACGCTACCAAGCCTCTTAAGAGACCGAGGCTGTTAGTAAAATACAACAGGGACGATTACTGGCCCAACTGTTAGAAGCCGTTAAAAGGCCAGACCGTCTACCCACGACAGACACGGGGTGAAAGCCTCCCAGAAGGTCAGAGGCCTCAGAATCTGCCCCGGGGTCCCAGGCCTACACCTGGGCAGCTGTATTACCGTTTTGGGAAGAGTCTCTATCTCGAAGCCTCAAGACAAATGACCCAACACATGCTCTTCCTCGGGGAGCAGCCCCCGCCACCCCCTTCCCCTCCTTCCCCACTTCTTCCCCCACAGGCCTGCATCTCCTAAACTCTAAGGGGCCCCATGAGACTTGCAACCTGGGGAGCAATGGGCGGCAGCAGCTTGTCCCGGGCTAATCCCCGAACCTGACCCCCAGGCCCCCTTTTCTCTGACTCCCAGAGAGCCAGGGCAGCCCAGCCTGGGCTCTCTGTTGCTCCTTCTACGCTAAGCCCTTTGTCTCACTGCCCCCAGCGTTAATAAACGCTCCCTCATCGTCACCTGGACTCGCGTTGTGAAATTTTTCCTGCACGAAGTCAAGAACCCGCACAGTCCCAGCTGGCCCCAGGCAGACCCACTCAGAGCCCGTCCCCTTTCTGGTAACACCCCGCCATTCATAGGCTGCAGTCCTGATCCCCCCAGTGTCTCAGAAGGTGGCCTTATTTGGAAATGGGGTCATTGCTGACGTAGTTAGTTCAGATGAGGTCACACTGATGCAATACGGCTGACTAGTGTCCTTACCAGAAAGGGCACGTTGGGAAACAGACACGCACGCAGGGAAGACGCCACGTGAGGCCTGCAGTTCTGCAGCCACAGGCCAAGTACCCGCCAGACGCGAGGAGAGAGGCCTGGACTGGCCCGTGCCCAGTGCCCTCAGGAGGAGCCGTGAGAGACATGCCGCACGGAGTGTGGGACTTGGTGGCGCAGCCCTCGCTAACTAATACCCTGCCCGAGTCCACATTTTGCAAGAGGATTTCGCAACGACAAAAGCGAAACTTAAAAAGGAATTTTTTGGGCCCCTCGCTAACCAAATGGTCCCTGCCCTTGGGGACCGGTCCTGGTGCTCTCCAGGGAGCCAAGGCCAGCCCGCCCTGGGCTAGGGCGAAATCGGACAAGAGTGCAAAGAGCGAAGGCGGCCACAAGCGCGATTAGAAAAGTAGAGAAAGTGGCCACCATCCAAGGGGACAGGCTGGGCCACCTTACTTACCAGAGCTGAGAAAGGGTTTGCTGCACAGGGGGCAGGTGGCGTGGCCGGAGACGGCTCCTCGCGACAGCTGGTGGCCATTGACACATTCCTTTCTCTCCCGAGCATCCTGATCCTTGTCCTTCAGCTGGACAGGGCTTTTCCCCTGTGGGGGACAGAGGTGAGACTTAGAATGCCTGTGTACCCAGGCCTACCTGGAACCACAGGGCCAGGGCCACTCTGACATGCCGAGGAAGGCAGAGGGGCCCGTGTCCTACCCCCTCACCTTGTCCTTGTGCCTGGTGACTCGACTGCGCAGGGAGCTGAGTCTGCACTTCGACCTGGTGATGCCCCTGTCAGTCCTCTCCATCTTGCTGGCTCCATCCTCGCTCCTGAGGGGAGGGAAGATGGATGAGGGCGGGCAGCAGGGTCAGAGGCCGTTCTGAGCCAGGCCTGCACGCCGCTCCTGGAATCTACCTGCATCCATCTTCCTGTGGCCTCCTCCTCCTGTTTCACCTCTTCTATGGTCCCCAACTCTCTCCCTCCTTCTCTCACTCATCAAACATTTCAGTGTTTTGCTGTTTGCAATGTTCCAGGAACCATAGGGATTGGGTTTGCAGGGGGTCAAGCGACATGGTCTCAAGCTGGAGGTCCCTTGATGGGCCTGGGCTGGAAATCTTGGCTCTGCCATCTCTGCCTCCTCCCTCTGATCCACCCCTCCCCACCTCCAGATCGAATGAGCCTATAAATCCTGCCCATTCTTCCTGTGGGATTTCTTCAAACCCAGCTCTCCTCCCCTCCCCGCATCACTGCCATGGCCCCCCTGATTACAGGCACATCTTTATTTAATAAATACTTGTTAGGTCAACGACAAACAAGCCCAGCTGGGCAGAATCTATTCCCTGGAGGGGATTCTGCACCTCCAGTCTGCACCCTGCCTGCCCCAGTCATCTGTGCGCACCATCCTCAGTCACTAGGCAGCTCTGGCCTTAGCTTAGCAGAGGTGACCTGGCCCTGCTGACTTCCTCCACTGTCCCTCCTCCCAGCCCCACCTGATACCGGTCCCCAGTCCAGAAGGCACTGTTTTCCCTTCCCATCCTCAGATCTGAGGACTGGCGAACCCTACCCTTCCCCCAGAACCCAGTTCAAGCTGTCACCTCCTCCAGGAAGTCCTCCTCCCCCCACCGCAGGTGTATGAGGAGCCCCACCCTCACCCCTGCTGTTGCCCTCGGTGGTTCCAGAGAGGATGGGGACCCAGCTCCTGCCCCCAGCCCAGGCCAGGCACCGAGGGCCGCAGGACACACTTGTGCAAACCCAGGGCTGGGCTCCCACCTGCCCCGCCCGCAGCCCCCCGCCTGCAGCAGCTCTGCCTACTTACTCAGACAGGAACTCAAACCAGGTGAGGTTTGAGGGGGCTTCTCTGGGGCTGACCGACAAGCGAGCCCTCTGCTGAGCCCTGCAGGACCAGAGGGGACAGACACCTGGTCAGCAGCCCCTCCCCCACCCAGCAGCCCCTCTCCCTCAGGCTTCTGTGGTTGGGTGTGCGCCCGCTGCCATGGCCCGAGAGCCCCCCTTCCTCCACCTGTGGGCCTGCATGTATGGTCATTGGGGCATATGTTCCGGCAGAAGGCAGGCCACGCCCGGGGAGGCAGTGTTTGCGGGAGATGCATCTGTTCCCCTCTGCACAGAGGCTTCATGGGCCAGCGTGGCTCCCTCCTCCCCACGATGGCCCTGCTCTCTTCCCCTCCTATCGCCTCCCCTCCCCTGTCCTGTCCCCATTTCTCCCTGTCTTCTCTCCAGCCTGTTTCCCACACCTGTTTACTCTCACATCTGGCCTCTTATACCTGTCCCTCCACATCTGTCCTCCAACCTCTTCCTCCAAACCTGTGTTCCCCACACTTCTTCACAACCATCCACTACATCTGTCCTTTCGCACACTGGTCCCCCATACCCACCTAGTCCCTGTCTGCCCCACACCTGTCCTCCCACCCCTGTTCCCTGCCTGTCTCCCTTCCACTTACCCATGGTACTGTCGAAGTTCCTGCAGTACCTGCTGGACCATCAGCCTGGGGCGGGAATAAAATAGCCCATAGTCATCCCAGATTACAGACCTATCCCCGAGAGGAGCGGGGATGGCCGCACCTGCCTTGGGTCCTGAAGCAGACCCTAGCCAGGAGCCCAGCCCCCTCCTGAGGCCTGTGGGAACCTCTCTGAGGGGCCTGGGTCCCTCCCCTGGGAGAAGGAGGGGTGGGAGAGAAGGTGAGGTCATGGGGGACTGAGAGGCACCGTGGCTGCCAGGTCACTTACTGCCAGCAATGCTGCAGCCTGCACCCCTCCTCCCACAGCCTGGACCCCTTGGCTGGCCACTGGGCTCCTCCCCGCGGGGCGGACACTCACACATGGTCTGGTTCCACGTGGTCCTTTTCCAGACACTCCAGCACTGGTGGCTCCAGGCCTGGAAGTAGCCCGACATCAGGACGCACAGGCGTGAGGAGCTCCCGCCCGCTCCCTGCAGAGACTGAGGAGCCCGCCCTGCAGTGGCTCCCCGGGACCCACCCCTGCAGAACTGAGGTCGGCGGAGCGGCCTCGCCACTCTCAGGAGGAGAGGCGGGAGAGGGACGAGAGCAGGGAGGGAGGTATCCCCAGCTTTTCACAAGAGCTTAGGATGTGCTAAGTGCTTTGCGTGCGTGCGTGCGTGCGTGCGTGCGTGTACCCCCAGTGGCCCTAAGGAGGGACATTATGTCTCAGTCTATGCAGAAGGCTGCAGGGGCTGAGGCTGGTCAGAAAGTGGTGGGTCTGGGTGTAGCCTGCAGGTCTGCCTGACACCAGAGAGACACATTCTGAGGACCCAGAGTTTGTCTGAGGCCGGCAGGAAAACAACGAAAGAGACAGAGTCAGAAGAGAAGGGAGGCGAGGCCATGGCAGTGGTGGGGGCTCCAGACCCCTGGGGGAGGGGGTAGAGGAGGGGCAGATGCTGGAGGCTCTCCCGCTCTCGGGAACCCCTCCCCCAGGACCTCCACATCCTCTGGGGCCCAGCTGGGACCCATGGGGCACCTTCTAGCCCAGCCCCGCTGCCCTGCTTGGCCCGAGAGGGAAACACCAGGCCGGGCTACCTTGGGCAGCGTGAGTGGGCACCTCCAAAGCCCGAGAGCTTTCCAGGGCGCTGACCTCATCCAAGGTCACGGGAACCGACTGGGACCTCACTCTCTCCTCCAGGCCGTCACCTTCCTGCGGGGAACGAGCGGAACGAGCAGCTCGCTAAGCCGGCGGCCCAGAGGCTGCAGGAAGGCTCCGGATCAAGGGCTCGGCCCCAACCTCTAGCACATGCAGGCGCCCCAGGCGCAGGGCAGGGGTCTCCCCGCAGCCAGACGCTGGAGCCTTACCCTCCCAGAGATGCGCGGCAGTTCCCCTGCCCGGGCTGTGGGCCGGGCCCTGAAACTGTGAGTGCAGGTTCCAGGCCCAGTAGGTCTGCAGGTCAGAGTCAGAGCAAAGGGGCCAGGCTTCTCCCCCCGCTGTGGGCTGGAGTCCCAGACTCCAATCAGACAGGCCTCCCTTCCGCTGCAGGGGCGCGGAGGAGTCCCCCGCCCCCGCCAATTGGCTGCGCTTCTGGCCAAGGATCCGCTGCTGTGGACCCTCCTCAGGGAGGAACTCAGGCCTGGGCTGCGATCTCAGGGCTGAGACTCCCCCGTCGTGGGCTCCAGCAGCGACCGCCCAGCCATGGCAGGTCAGTCCCATGGGTGAGGCTCCCCTTCCCGCCGCAGCTCGGCTCCTGGGCCCGGAGTGTTACTGTCCGGGTGGCCGCAGGCTGCACCCACCTTGCCTGGGTGCTTCGCTGGGGTCCTGCCCCCGGAGAGACACTCTTTAGTCCAGGCCTGCAGACTCTCCCCAGGAAGGTTCAGGGCAAGGGTCGCCAGCGCCCGAGGGAGACACGGCCCCTCACTCACAGCCGAGGAGTCGAGGCTGAACCTGGGGGGAGAAGGGCGGGATTCAGGGCTTCAGCAGGTCTCTCCACCTGCTGCCGCTCCACCAGCTCCAGAATCTGGGGGTTTGGGAGGACCCGCAGATGACCCCTCTGGGCCATAGAGAGGGTCCACATCTCCCCGTATGGGGGGGGGGAAGAGCCAGGTTGGTGGATTCGCTGAAGCTGCCTGTGCATCACAGACCCCCCATTTTTACATGGACTGGCTTTCTATTTGGGGTGAGAGGGCTGGAGGGGTTGGGTGGGGGTGGCTAAAGCACCCGCCTCCACTCTTTAGGGCTGCCACTGTGGTGTGTGTGGAGTCGAGCACTCCTATGTGTTTTTTTTTTTTTTAAATATATATATTATTATTGATTTCAGAGAGAAAGGGAGAGGGAGAGAGAGATAAAATCAATGATGAGAGGGAATCATTGATTGGCTGCCTCCTTCACACCCCACCCTGGGGATGGAGCCCACAACCCGGGCATGTGCCCCTGACTGGAATCGAACCTGGGACTCTTCAGTCTGCAGACTCTACCCACTGAGCCAAACCGGCTAGGGCAATATGTGTCTTGATTCCAAGCGCATCTGTGGCTTTGTGCATGCATGTGCCACTGCCCTGCAAGTCGGACATGTAGGCCTATAGGTGTGGGTCAGAGCGAGTGAATGTGCCAGCCTGGGGGTGAACATGGGCAGCGGTACACCTAGTGTGCGTGGGCAAGTGTGCACACCTGGGATCGCACCTGCCTGCAGTGTGTATGTACAGTGTCCTTTGGGGCTTGTGCACACTCAGCACGTGTTTCCGTGCACGTGGATCTGTGTGTGGGCATGTGTGTCTTGGGAGGGGGCTGCCTCTGCCGTGCGGACACCCCTGATCCTGGGAGGGTGTCATGGAAGGCTCAGTGGCGGGCACCAACCTCTGCCAGCTGTCTGAGCAGCTGCGGGACCTCGCCCAGCTGCATCTCCGAGGCAGGCCCTCCCGTCCTGCTGAACTGGAGCAGGATGAACCGCTTCCTGCTGCTTCGCTTGGGGGGTCACTCTCCCTGGCCGCTCCAGGCTGGCGGTGGGCAGGGGCCTCAAGGCCCAGGTCCTGGAGGTACTCGCTGCCCTGAAGGGCCCCCCAGTCCAGGCTGAGGTCCTCTGTGCTTTCCCCGAGCTGCCCAGGACCAGCTTCCTCCTGCAGGTGGTGGGAGAAGAGCACATTGGCTGAAGGCAGCAGAGGCCCAAGACCCAGACCGGCCCACACCCTCCTGTCCCACTGGGGCTCAGGGCCTTCTCAGGGCGGTGGGCTGGGATGGAGGCAGTCCCTCAGGCCTCTGTCTCACCTGGGCCTTCAAGCTTTATTCCCCCAAAAAGGGGCCGGAAGCCCGGGCTTCCACCTCCCTTCGAGTTTCCGTTGCACCCACTGTCTTCAGTAGCCCTGCCCTGCCTGCTCACCCCGCTCACTGTAAGGCTCAGGGAAGACCAAGGCTGCAAATGCCACCTGGCAAGCGCCACACAGAGGAGTGCTGCCCTTGCTGTGCGCGCAGGCTCCTCGTCGCAGGGCTGTTCGGGCTCACACTTCTCCTGGACCCTAAATCTCCCTGCCAAGCTGGGACTGGGGTGAGGCAAGCGAGGCATCTGCCTCAGGCACAGAACTGAAGGCGGAGGGGCCCAAAACTCAGGAATCAAGATAATATTTTCATGTAATTGTTAAAGCAACTCAAAAGTAATGCAAGGAGATTCATGATGAACAAATTCTCAACATTTAAGGAATCACAGTACTAGACCCTGCACCCTCTTCGCTCAGCTCCCCTTTCTGCCCCCTCCTACCAGAGAGGACATCTGAGCGGTCAGTCCTCCACTGCCGTTTCCTCCCCGACAGCTACTCAGCGCAGTACGAAAGGCTCCAGGGTCAGTGCCTCCTGCTTCTGGCCCCTGGGCAGCCTCAGGTTCCCTCCCGCCCAGGAGGCAGCAACATGCCAGGCAGGGTTAGACACCAGACACGCAGATGTGTATCCCACAGCAGCTCCGCCAGGGGGCAGTATTTTCCGGGTCAGGAGACAAAGCGGCAGGGAGGAGAACGGACTAACCCAGAGCCGCGCAGTCCATAAATAGTCGAGCTGGGCTCAGACTCAGGTCTGTCTGGACCCAGGCTCTATGTTCTTTCTTTACTCGCTGCTCTCTACTCCTTTCCCCCCACTTCCTTTGCCCTGCTCTCCCTTCCTCCCAGTCATTCTGTTTGTCAATTTTCCCAGCCAGGACACCTGCCTTTTCTTCTTCTTGGAGACCCTTTTCTCCCAGCCCACTTAGAGTCAGCCTGGTGAACTCCTATTCATCCTTCAAAACCCAATTTTGGCATGCCCTCCAGGCTATTACCCCGACCCCTTGAGGTTAGGTAAGGTGTCCCTCTGTCCCTTTCCAGGCCTTTGTTAGGACTGTCTCCAGGTAAGTGTTTGGTAGATAAGTGGGTGGGTGGGCCTCTCCTGCCTCAGGCACTATGTGATCTCAGGAAGCCCTTGATGGTCTGCCCCAATGGGTGGCCTGAAGGTGTCCCCCTGTATGAATTCTGCAAGAGGGCCCTAGGATAGGATTACTAGATAAAATACAGGACACCTGGTTAAATTTGAATTTTAGGTAAACAACAAATATGTTTTTAGTATAGGTAGATCCCAGATGTTGCAATGGTTGACATTTAAACCCAACTGGGTGTCCTGTAATTTTATTTGTGCAACCTTGCAACCCTACCCCTGGACCATTTGGCACGGCCTGTCTTTTTACCAGGTAAGGGAGAACAGAGGGATTGCTGCTGAGTCTTGGTGTGGGGACGTTTCCAATTTGAAGTGGAAAAATACCCGCTAACCGAAAGCCAGGCTCTTGGTCAGCTGAGGATCTTGGCTGCAGGAGGCAGCAGCGGTGGCCACACTGGCCTCGGAATAAGGAAGTGGCCTGGCCTTGTCTCCTGCCCGCACCCACTTGGAGCTCTCTACAGTCTGACCTCTCCCTTGTCATTCTTTGTATTATGGCAAAATACACACAAGAAAATTGACCAGTTTTTACCATTTGTAAGTTTACAGTTCAGTGGGATTAAGTGCGTTCACATCACGTCACCACCATCCTTCTCCAGAGCTTTCATCCTCCCGATAGAAACCCTGTCTCCATCCAACACTAACTCCCCTTCCCCGCTCGCCCCTCCCGACCTCTGGGGACCTTTACTCCCCGTCTCTGTGGCTCGGGCTCCCCTAGGGACCTCCTATAAGTGAAGCCACATGATCCTTATCCTTTTGTGTCTGATTTATTTCACCTAACCTAATGCTTTCCAGGTGTCTCTGTATTCTAGCATGTGCCAGAATTCCACTCCTTTTTAAGGCTGAGTAACAGTCTGTTGTGTGGATGGACCACACGGTGTGGGTGTAAACAGAGCCCATGGTGCACATCCATCATCCGCTGGTGGGGACTTGGGTTGTCTCCACGTTTTGGCTGTTGAGGATAATGCTGCTTTGAACACGGGTGTGCCAATGTGTTTGAGTCCCTGCTTTCAGTATTTGGGGTAGATATTCAGAAGTGGACTTGCTGGGGCACATGGTCATTGCATTTTTGGTTTTTCAAGGACCTGCCACACTGTTTCCCAGGCCTCCTTTCTTCCGGCATCTCTCCTTTGTGCCCATGTCTGCTCCCTCCCACCTCTCCGGCTGCTCCTTCTCTTCTGCCCTCTGTCCTGTGCACACCAGGGTCCCTTCTTTAGTCTCTGTCTGAATGCCTGGCCCTCCTGGGACCTGGGCAGCGGCCTCCTTTCAGACCTCCAGTCCCATCCCTGGTGCCTGCACAGCCTCTTTGATCTCCTTCCTCCTCGGCCATTGCCCCCAACGTTTCCCTGTGGCTCTGGTTTTCATCCTCCTATAAATGTAAACATGTCAGGACAGCCTCTTGGCCTGGGCCGGGACTCTCCCTCTCTCGCATCTGGTGTCCCTCACAGGAGGCAGCAGTGGGCAGCCGGCCAGAGCTGGGGGTGGCAGGCTGGGGGCACAGGGTGCCCGCTCCCTGCAGCAGGTACACTGCTAGAGGGACAGGCAGGGGCTTCACTAGGGACGTACACCTTTCCTCCAACATTTCCTGGGTGAGAAAAAGTGTGAGCTGGCCCCAGGGGGCCTTTCCAGGCCCCTGACTAATCATTGTAACTGGCTCAGGCTTCTGCTCTCTGGACCATGGAAAACCTTGGGGAATGGGCTCCCCATTCAGACCTGGAGGCGAGATCCCCCCGGGATCCCCACTGCAGACAGGCTTACTGCATGCAGATTAAATAGTACACCGATGAACATGTCTTTAACATGTAAGGAGTTGTTTATCTGCTTTTCTATTAGAGAAAGGAGCACACCAAAGCGACTTCATGCATTTTGTGTCCCTTGTACCATCTCACCGTGGCAAAAGGGAATCGGTTTTAAATAAAATAGCAAATAAATACCAGGACAGACGGTTCTTGCACGGCAGCCTGGTAGAAAGGCCTTACTCCAGGTCCGCAGTCCTGGCATGGCTTTCTTAGCCGGCTCAGTGTCCCCACGGCCAAGTTCCTGTGGACCTCAGTTTTCTCATCTCTAAAATGGATGGAATGTTGCCTTCTAGTCGGATGGCTCTGCGGTAACATGAGATGAGGTTTACACACTGCAAGTGCTCGATGGATGGAAGCAGGTACTAGGTTGGTTACTGTTTTTATATTCCAAGTTTCATATTTCAGGAGTCAGGGCCCTTTCTCTGGGCAAGTCACACAGTCCCTGGCTGCCTGGAGCGAACTGGGGAACACTGGTGATCAAATCCAGCAATTATAATCTGTGATGTTCCAGGAAGTGGGGGGCGGGGAAGGACTGAAGGGAGCCCCCTGACCCAGTCTGGAGGAGCAGGAATTCTAGATTGGAATTTTACTTAGAAAAATCTCTTTTTAAAAAGTACAAACCCCAGGGTAATCATTGGTGTAAAGACCTACTAACTGCAACTTAGTTAAAAAAAGTTAGATAATCTTTAGACAGCTTCTATAGCCAAAACTAAACCAAAAAACCCTGGTTCCAACCACATAAAATAGCCTCCACATGACATATAAATTATTTCTTTGACCATATTAGTCAAGTGTCACACATTTTATTTACTTACCTACTTTTTAAAAATTGACTTTTAGAGAGAGAGAGGAAGGGAGAGAGAGAGAGAGAGGGAAACATCAATGTGTGAGAGAGAAACATCGATTGGTTGCCTCCTGTGAACCCGCAACCTGGGCATATACCCTGACCAGGAATCGAACAGGCAACCCTTTGTTACAGGGGACATCGCCAACCAACTGAGCCACACCGGCCAGGACCAAGTTTCATATATCTTAAAATGATCTACATCTTATCAGTTCATAGAGTGTCAATAAAAAGTCCTACAAAATGTAAAAATTCAATCAATCAATCAATCAATCAATCAAGGCCAGCTTTTTAGAGGAAGTGACAGCCAGTGAAGCCTGAGGAATGAACAGGAGTTGGATAGGCAGAGGCTGTGGGTGAGGGCATTTCAGGCAACAAACCCAGGACGTTCAGAAGCCCACAGTCTGAGAGTTCACAGTACCTCCCAACAACTGGCCAGAGAAGCGTTCCTGATGGTTGGAGGTGTGGAGGGAGGGGGATGGGAATGGACCAGGAGGCCTGGTAGGCCAACTAAGGATTTAATCTTTAAGCTCCAACCAGTGGTGGTAGGGAGGTTAGGGGTTGTGATTGCCTTTGGAAAGATTATGCAAGATGCAGAGCCAAGATGGGCTTGGTGGGGGGTGTAAGGGGGCAAGACAGAAGCTGGTGGAGCAGTGAGGACACCTGTGCAGATCACCTGGGAGAGTGGTTATGGTGGCCTCTGCCCGGGGCGTGGAGGAGGGAGAGATGTGGCAAGGACAATAGCTTCCCTTGCCTCCAGCTATGGTGATTGAGTGCCAATGGCTGAGACACAGGGGGAGGGGTTTATTTGGAGGTGTTGGGTGCAGAGCCTCCCTGCAATGTTGAGTGCTCACTGCTCCCCCAGGCACACAGTTTCTCCCTCACCATTTTGTTGGCCTGACTGTCTGCAGCCCATGGCTCCTACTCAAGAGGTCCGGAATCCTGGAAGGAGCCATAACTCAATTTGCATCTCTGTCCTACTTTTGTTTATCCTGGATCATCCCTGACTCTTGGGCCAATTAGTTCCCTGCTTGGCTCTAGTGTTCTTTTACATAAAACTAGAGGCCCAGTGCACGAATTCGTGCATGGGTGGGGTCCGGCCAGCCGGCCTGGATGGGTGCTGATCGGGGTGGGGCTGGTGAGGGGGAGGGGATGCAGAAGGTTGGCCGGCCGGCCCCACCCCCTGGTGGAACGCCTGGTCGAACTCCTGGTCCAGGGGACAATTTGCATATTAGACTTTTATTATATAGGACTAGAGGCCCGGTGCACAAAAATTTGTGCACTTGGGGGGGTCCCTCAGCCCGGCCTATGCTCTCTCGCAGTCTGGGACCCCTCGGGGGATGTCCACCTGCTGGCCTAGGCCTGCTCCCCAGGAGATCGGGCCTAAGCTGGCAGTCAGACATCCCTCTGGCAGCCCGGGAGCCCTCGGGGGATGTCCACTTGCCAGCAGGGAGCAGGCCTAAGCTGCAGTTGGACATCCTTAGC